TCATATTGTGTTGTCATCGTTTATGAGCGAATGGCCCCTTGCAAGTTCATTGACCCACAAGTTTATACATTTCTATTTGCATCTCAATTGAAATGGTAGTCTCCCAATATTTCATTGGCAATATTATATCATCGTTCAAATGAGATTTCATTATTGCTCCTTCATCTTGTATTGTTCAAGTCATAATTTACTCAAGTCAAATGAGCTTTAAGCTCAAGCTTAGCTCAAGTCTAAATTCAATCATTCAAACTCAAGTGCATATTAATGTCATTTCTCATTCGATCCTTGCTTGAAAATATGCTTCAAGTTATGTTGAATTTCATAAGTCCTCTATTTGATTGTTGATGTTCATTTGAACAATTCAAAGTCTAAATTAGCATTTGTATTCTTTTTTGTTTTTTTTTATTAAACATTTAACATTCAGAATCTGGGTCTTTTTGGTCGTTTAAGTCAAAGTCCCCTGCTCAGTTTGAGTTCCTTGCTTCATGTTCAGGTTTAAATCTTTTATTGATTGTTTGGGTTTGGATTATGTTTATTTGATTCTCCAATCAATGTCCAAGTAAAATCCCCTGCTGCCCTGCTGCCCAAAAATTTGTTTAAGTTCTTTTCTTTTTCATATAAAATTTCAACAGCCTCCCGGCGTCTCTTTCTTTTAGAGAAAAAACTAAGAGGCAGCTTACCCGCCACGTCAAGAAAGACGTACATAATCGATGTTGTGAGACACTGTGGTTGTAGTATTCGTCATCCACCACGCCAAGAAAGGCGTGCATGGATCTTTAAAAGCATATATTTGAAAAATCAGTTCTTTCCCCACGTACGGGTACTTATATTTTTGCTTTGTCATGCTAATAAAAGCACGCACAAGAATTGCCCGCTTCGTTGTAAGCGCTTCCCCAAGTTTCCTCCCACCACACTAAGAAAAATGTTCATGGGTGATCCCTTGGTATGCCATGAACATCGAATAAGGACTTTAGGGGATTACCTACCTCACCACAAGCACTACGACGAGTTTCCTCACACCATGCTAAGAAAAGAACGCATGGGTGGTTACAAGTCATGCTACAAGTGACGAAATGAGCTTTCGAAGTTTAGGAGGATATACCTTCGCATGTCGTCGACGGGGTTGGCACGTAGATCGAGGTAAGAGAAGGGCATTTTCTTCAATTTTATTATTATTATTTTGTTATAATACTAATAATAATAATTATCATTATTATAATAATTAAAATAGTAATTGATTAACTACTATTATAATTATTTATAACCATATAATGCCAGTCATAATAATAATTAGTTACTAATTATTATAGGTAATTATAATTGATATTAATTATAATAAAAACTAATTGTTAATTATTATAATTAATAATAATCATAATTATTTATAACTATAACAATAACTAATTATTTGCATTTATCATACTGATAACATAGTTCAATAAATCTACACAGATTTTTACCAGATTAATCAAACACAGTAGATGTCGGGTAGGATAGTTGAGTTAAAGATTTTGGACTTGGGGTTCAATAAGGCATCGGGCTAGGGTAGATGGAGGTTCGGGTTTGCGAATGGTAGAGAAGGAAGAGGAATTCGGTCATAGGGTGTCTCTCTCTCTCCCAAGAGAATCGAAAGATTGAGGCTTGGATCTTGCGGCCTTGGTGGAAGAATCAAGGTTTGAACAGGTCGTGGATATGGCGGCTTTGGGGGTCAGGTCTTGAGGAGTTTGGCAATGGGAAGGGAGAAGCAACTGGTTCGCGCAGGTAAGGCTTCGATCCAGCCTTGATCGAAGATGGGTAGGGAAGAGTTTGGCGTCGGGCTACAGGAGCTGGCTCACAGCATAAGGCAAGATCAGCAGGAGCATGCGATCGTGGAAGCATGGCGCAGAAGAAGTTGTCGTGGGAAGAGTTCGAAGAGAGAAGGCTTCCCTTTCGTTTTTGTGGGTCTCCGAAAGGATTCCGCTCGTGTGGTTCGAATGCAAAGAGTACGATCACACTATCCCGTAGGACAAAATGGTCGTAGGCCTTTACACCCGGCACAAGCAGGCCGATGGAAGAGCAGATGGAGTTATAGATACGATTAGCCATGGAGGATAGCGGCTTTCACCTACCAACCTCGATGGATAATAATATCTATAACCCAAAATTCACGAGATTTCCCCTATTCGATACATCAGC